TCTATGCTGTCTTGATCATAGGCAGTCAAGAGTCCATTGAAATGATAGATCCAGCTTGAGAAAGCATAGCGTATGGCTTCATAATATGCCACAGGATTGAGGTCTTGCAGATAAGGAATGATGTGGGTGATGCAGTTAAAAAGAATGTGTTGATGTACAGTTGCAGATTTGAAAAACTGATCTTGGTGCCGATTAGAATCTCTCACAAAGTCCAGCAAAGAAGTGTGATACGGTCGAATGATGTATGCATCTGGTGTCGGAAGAATCATAACAGAAAAGCATCCACGTAACGCCAGGTCCACATCCTCGACTGACTCAAGACAGAGCAGTGAAGGAAAAGCATAAATTGGAAGTTTTTCATGGAAAAGGCCAATAGCACCAATGACCAGTTCAAAGTTCGGATAAGCTTTGGCATCCTCTAGCACTTGCTTATAGAGTGAGTCCAAGCCTTTGTGCATCCGTTTGGCAGTCTCCAGATTACGCCGGGGGTCTCCATATTTGTCATCAATGAATCTGACAAGTGTCGAGGCATAGGCAAATATCCCTTCTGACTTTTTAGCCAGAGAAGTCACAACACCTGGACCAGGCCAGTCTGCACCGAGTTTTCGTCTTTGTCCAATTGCACAAAAGTCAGGCAACAGATAGTTCTCTACATCCTCTATAGCTGGAAAGTCCTGAAGAGCCATATGTGACATTGAAGTGACTAGATCAAACATCTCAGCAATGTCGGCTTCTGGTCGGCTGGTGAAGAGAATGCGAAAATGGAGTTGTTTCACCATTGTGTCAATGAGGATCTGAACTAGATGATCCAGGCGGATTTTGCCCTCATCCCGAATATATTCATCGAGCCCATCAATGACAACAACGATAGGGAGAGCTGGAGGTCTGGCTGAAAGAATGGGGATGATGATGCCAGCAATGCTTGTGAGCTGATCCTTGAGACGTTGGTGAAAAAGTCCTGTATTGGTCTCAAGGGCTTCATCAACTTTTTGCTCAATAGGAGCAATGCCTGTACTCTTGGCCAGGGTATAGACAAAGGTAGGAATGAATGCAGATAGGTTGCTGCGGGTGGTATATCTCCTGGAGAAAAAGTAGCTGAAAGCAAGACAATGGTTCTTGTCACACTTTTGAGCCACAGTATGAGCAATAGTAGACTTTCCAGCTCCTGCAGGACCAGAAAGCCAACAGACTGGATCACCATCACCTTGAGCCCATTGATCCAGCTGCTTTAATACTTCTTTTCTTGTCTCTGGTGCACAAACTGATGCTTCTTCACGCTCCCGCTCATGGGAATTATATGCTGTGTCATGTCTGGCGAGATCCTTGAGCCGCCTGGTAACTGCTGGAAAACATAAATGCCACCTTCCACAATAGAAACCCAGAAATATTACCAGGAGCATGATGGATGATATTGCCATAAATTTGACCGACATTATGAGAGCCCACATCACCCATGGTGCCTACAAGAACCTTGAGGACTTTCCTCAACTCCATTGCCTCATATTGACCTACCAATATAGTTCCCTTTCAGGTCTATTTGTGCGGCTATCACTGCCATATCGAAAAATGGGGAAGAGCTGCTCGATGGAAGTAAGGACAGTGCAGCTGACAGTGAACATGAGGCTGCAGACTGGACCAATCAGGACCGGTCACGCCTATGAGGTTTTTCTACGATAAAAATTATGTCAGCCGTCAGCTGATTGGCTGTCAGCCGACTGTTTCTGATCACCGTGGTCATGGGCTCTAATCTCTTGGTACATTCACTCAGCGGTGCCTTGATTGCATAATAAGCTATGGCTCAAGGTACCAGAGCAGCCCCGTCTGTCGACAGGGCCAGCCATCACATCGACGGGTCACGACAGGGAGAGTTGAATCTATGATGGAACGGGACAGACAGTGTATTGACTGTCTGACTTTTCAAGGCTCATTCCATGGTGTTTGTAAGGTTCTGAGACTGGAAAGAAGTTCAGGACTGTGCCAGGAGAAGAGAGAACAAACATGCTGAACAAAAAGGCAAGCGCAGTCTTTGATCTGTGAAATCTGAGGAACCAAACTCATCTGAACAAGTTTTAGAGTTGAAATCTACATGCTTGAGCATGAACAAATTCAAAATTCCTTCAAAACTAGCTGGCGGGATCATAGCAAGAGCACGTGACGCCCTCCCGACGCATATCTAAATTAGGCAATTGGTGGCGCTCAATAGCGCGGCAAGTGAAATTTGCAGCCTGAAGGTCAGGAAACACATTCAATGGTCTGCTGCAGATTTCTCCAGCTTGTCAGCCATCTTAGGTCAGCTGTCGACGGCCGTTCGTACATCCCTCGACCATCCCTTGACTTCAGATGCCCAAGGTCAGACGGAACAGGGACGGCGCGAAGCCCTATTCGACATATATTTGCCATAGGTTGAACATGTGTTCAGAACCCGAAGGATTTCATCAAGCAGGCTAGAATCGGCCTAGAAGATACTTATGTCTAGTGTTTCTCTCATCTCTTCCACCTTTCTTTCATGTCAGATAAGGCAGCTTTTCCTTGCAGCATTATGGGGATTACTGGGATTGTCACAGTGACCTGCCCTCTGGACTCCAATGGTGACGATGATGTGGCACATTTTCAAGGCTGTGTGAGAAATGGCAAATTCTACCAACCTAACCAGTTCCAGTTCAATGAGGACTCACAGATAACATCTGCAAGAGAAGATGAAGAGCCTGAGAGTGACTGCAAGAACAGAGTGTGTTGAGTTATCCAATACCCTATCTTTAGATGGCTATGAATTTGCTTTTTAATATATCCATGAGGTCTCATCCATGTTTTATGGTGGGGGAAGAGATGAAGTGAACGTTGAAACTGTCTTGCAGTTGAACTCTCACAGAGGATCTCATCAGCTGCAAATAGCCATATTTGGGCCATATAATGGAAGAATAAGAGATGGAAATGTCGCTCACCAGTCGCATAGTATACAGGCATGGGTTTTTTGCAGATTCAGATAAATCTGTACAGATCGGTGCAGATACCGTGCAGATACCGAGCAGATACCATGCAGATTCAAAATTTGAAAGTTGAGAATTCTTCACAGTTTGTATAGAGGGACTCATTGGGTCATTATGGTGCATCTATAACTGGTTTTTAACAGTTGTATTCCGAGTTCTCAAAAGTCGGTTTGCTTCATTTTGATGGGATTTCTCCTGATTGGGATACTCGGCACATAAAGATCCGAAGATGACGTTTACCACGTGCTTTGGTCTATACACTGAGGAAATATCCCTTGCGTTGACACCTGTTGACACCTTTTTCAGTCATCCTGAAACAGCTTTTCCACGATCCCGATAAAGTTCATGCTGAGGACTGTCCTGTCAAGGTTGGACTGAGGAACAGCGCAAGCATCGAGTCCGACCTATTGATGCTATACCCTACTTTGCTGGTCCTTTATCCATCAATGACCAGGCCAGACTCAACAATTGGTTTGATCTTCACATTCCTGCAGCTCATGAATTTCACGAGGAATGGGTCGGCGGAAGCTTAGCCATAGCACATGCTCGGACTCTCCTTATTCTACACCGAAACCGGACTCCTGCCTGATTTGAGCCTGAGGTGAATTCAAAATAAGTAAGGGCTGTGATGACAATGGTAACTTGTGCTGACTCAGAGCTTAGAGCTCGAAACTCATGATTGAAGATACCATGTACTTATATCATAGTTTCCATGAAATAGCTTCCTCTAGTATGGGGTACTTCAGTAGAATGCTCACCGCGAAGATACCAAGCAGATCAACAAAGCAGATACAAGCAGATAAATGCAGATTTTCGAGCAGATTTATCTTTATCTGCTTTTTCACGCTGCCCATAGTATACTCATGCGCTAACATAAGTACTCCCTATATCGATTGCGAAAGGCTGTCACGGTAATGTGCGTCAGCATTTAGTATCAACTGACGGTAAGAGGTGAGGTCACAAGTGAATTGCGAGGAAAACGAGATTCATGAAAGACACATTCATGCATTGGCAGGGAGAATGGTAGAGGAAGAAGGGCAGAGCTAATAAAGGGACAGACTGGAAACTGCCAAAGGCTCTGCTGTTCATACACCACAAAAATAAAACCCCCTTTGTCTGAATTCCAATGAAATCGTCGCAGAAGATTATGAAAAAGAAGAAAAAAGAAAAGGGTCACATATACAACAACATTCCAAGCAACCACAATGGCCGTAACCAGTCTTGTTCGCAGGAGATTCAGGGATGACGGATGTTCGGACCTGTGCAAAGGAGCATTAGCGAATGTCAAGACGAAGATGAGAGATAGAGCGAGGGCAAAGGGAGGCTACCAGGCAAAAGGGAAGAGACAATGAGACTTCATGAGAGATAGAACAAGAGGAAAAAGAAGGGAAGAGGGAGAAGGGGGAGAAGGAAAATAAGTAGATATATCAGCATGATGTCTCATCCAATCAAAATCCCCACGACCTTGTTGATGGAGAACCTTGTCTCGTCTCCTTCCTGGTCTTCCTCTCTTTTCAACCCTCTCCTAAAACCAAGCTTCATCTCCCTCCCTCTTCTCTCAAAAACCCAAAGAGAAGACCACCACAAAAAATACCAGCAGCTCCGAAGGAATAAGAAAAAGACTGGAGTAATGCCAAACCAAAGCAATTAGGACGAAGGATTGTCCTGTGAAATTATATTTCACGCCATGGAAGGAAACATGGTAAAACTGCTATTTTGCGTGTAATAATGTGAAATGGAAAGATACAAGAATTGGCAATTACTGACTACATACATGTATAATACTCGCTGCTACATAGTCACATTTATATTTTGTTAGATTTGGATTCTTGCTGTTTTCAGGTTCATGGGTTCACAGCTCACATCCCTGTACTTGGGGTATGATGGAATCTGATTTGATTTCACACCATGACAGTCTCAACATCCCATGGAAACCTGATATTCACTTTGTGTATTTTGACCAGAATGGCAAGTCTTGGAGTCAAAAAAACAATGAAAATATTTGAAAAAAATTGATTCAATCCAGGCTTCAACTGAAAACCTTCTGTGTAGAGGCAGTCATGGTGATGTTAGACACATGTGATAACCAACTATGCCACTGAACCAGTGGCACTAGTGCAGAAGATCAATGTGATGGAGGAGCAAGGGATTCTCAAGATCATAGTCTGAATCTCTACTCATAAGATGAAGAGGACAAGTTCCTGACTACCAGAAGAATGATACTTACCACAAAAACAATCTACATGGTGTTGATGAGAGGCTTGAAAATAAGGTTTGATGTATACTAGGCTATTACTAGCTCTGAGGCTAGCTTTTGGTTTTCCTGGGAGTATATTGAAAGAAGTTGGCAACCAAGTCGAGACTTGGATAAAGTATGTAGTGGGAAGTTCCGAATTCATCTGTACAATCGCTGATTAAAAGGGTGTCATGTTGATTCATTCAGTGTGGTACTTGATTGCCAAGCAGCCTGTGTTGAAGCTGATGCATCAAGGTCTTCCAAGCTCAAACTGCATGCATGTAGACAAAAGTGTCTGTATGCTCCTGGCTTGGAGTAGCCTCCCACCTTAGATTTTCTTGCCACAGACTTTCATGATATTCCTAAAATCAGACACAGAAAAGATTCAGTCTGACTCCCAACAGACCATCACTAAGGGACTGACCTTGAAGCATATTATAAACTGGTCCCAATGGGGTGTCGCTTTAGGTAGGATATGCTAATGTCAGAGTAAGAACAATTTACCTAAATAGTAGGTGAGAGAAGAACTCACCTTGAATGTAGCTGCCAACTCCAAGTCCCTCTGCAACTTTTTTCCAAGGGCATATGGCTGCCAAATGGGCATCCATATGTTGATGTTTGATATCAAAGTTCTGAGCAATTTGATGACCTGTGCTTCAAGTTCAGAACTTTCTATGCTCTCTGGATCATATGCAGTAAAGATTCCATTGAAATGATGGAGCCAGATCCGGAAAGCATAGATTCTGGTATTATTCCAGTTCAGTTGCACCCCAGCCTGCAGATGATGAATGATGAGATGAGCACAGCCAAAAAGAATGTGTTGGTGGACAGTTGCAGATCTGAAAAACTGATCTTTGTGCCGATTTGAATCTTTTAAAAAGTCCAAAAAAGAGGTGTGATGTGGTCGAATGATGTCTCTATCTGATGCTGGAAGGATCAGAATAGAAAGGCATCCACGCAATGCCAGGTACACATCTCCAACTGACTCAAGATGGAGAAGTGAAGATAAGTCACAAATCTCAAATGATTTGCGCAAGAGGGAAATAGCACCAATAACCAGTTCAAAATTTGGATAAGATTTGGCATCCTCTAGTACTTGCTGGTAGAGTGAGTCCAAGCCTTTGTGCATCCGTTTGGCAGTCTCCAGATTACGCCGGGGGTCTCCATACTTGTCATCAATGAATCTGACAAGTGTTGAGGCATAGGCAAATATTCCCTCTGACTTTTCAGCCAGAGTATGCACAACACCTGGACCAGGCCAGTCTGCACCAAGTTTTCGTCTTTGTGCAATCTTGCGAAACTCAGGCAGTAGATACTTCTCCACATCTTGTATAGCAGGAAAGTCCTGGAGAGCCATATGAGACATTGAAGTGACTAGCTCAAACATCTCAGCAATGTCTGCTTCAGGTCGGCTTGTGAAGAGGATGCGGAAGTGAAGCTGTGTCATCATTGTGTTAATGAGGATGTTAACTAGATGATCCAGGTGGATTTTGCCCTCATCCTGATTATATTCATCAAGACCATCAATGACAACAACAATGGGACAGGTTGGAGGTCTGGCTAGGAGGATGGGAATAATAATGCCAGTGATGGCTATGAGCTGATCCTCAAGACGTTGGTGAAAAAGTCCTGTATTGGTCTGAAGGGCTTCATCAACTTTATACTCAATAGAGGTGGGATCGGGGCACTTGTATACACCTGTGCTCTGGTCCATATCTCTGCTCTTGTCTGTGCTCTTGGCCAGGGTATAGACAAAGGTAGAAATGAATGCAGATAGGTTGCTGCGGGCTGTATATCTCCTGGAGAAGAAGTAGCTGAAAGCAAGACAATGGTTCTTGTCACACTGTTGAGCAATAGTATGAGCAATAGTGGACTTCCCAGCTCCTGCAGGACCAGAAAGCCAACAGACTGGTTCACCATGACCTTGTGCCCATTGGTTCAGCTGCTTCAGCACCTCCTTTCTTGTTTCTGGTGCACAAACTGATGCTCCCTCACACTCCCGCTCATGGGAATTGTATCCTGTGTCATGCCTGGCAAGATCCTTGAGCTGCCTGTTCACCACTGAAAAACATAAATGTCATATTCCATGACAGAAATCAAGGAATATTACCAGGAGCATAATTGAAGATGTTGCCATAATTTTGACCAATATTGTTAGAGCCCACATTGCCACCCACGGTGCCTGCAAACAATGTTGAGCTTTTCCTTGACATTGGTTCACATAGACCTACCAAAATTGTTCCCTGTTAGGTCTACTTGCGCAGCAGTCGACATATTGAAAAGTGAGGAAGATCTGCTCGGTGGAAGTAAGGACAGAGTGCACCTGACAATGAACACGAGGCTGCAGCGTGGACCAATCAGGACCGGTCACGCCAAGGTCACGCGTCCCAAACCAACCAGCTTGCATTAGAGTCAACAAAATGGTTTCACTAGATACTATTCCTATTCCTTCAACTGGGACCTCTCTTTGTAGACCAGCCATTTGTGTTGCAATATGTCTATATTATTGTGGTTGAAAGGAAGAGGTTACTTAGGTTCGTCAGATGTTCGTCAGAGACAGATAATGTGGAGTGAAATGGCAGGCAAAGGGGCCGTGAAGATAGAGGAATACGGGCGGGATTAAGAAGAGTCGTGGTCCGAGTTCATGAAATGGTATGAGAAGAGGTTCGTATAATCGCATGGTCTATCATGAAATAGCAAGTGAGTATTGTATAAGTAATGGCAAGGCAATATCGTGAGAGTGAGGAATCAAAGCAACAGGAAAAGCAAATGAAGCGGCAAGCAACAGGGGGAGGAAACGGTCCAACATTGAACGGCGAGACAAAAAGCAAATGTCAAGCGACACTGAAAAGAAAAGCAAAGGAATGAAACAAGATTCTTGACAAGATGGAATGGAAGAATAAGATATGGAAATGTCGCTCACCAGCTCGCGTATACTCAAGCGCCAACGTGCTCCCGATGGTGAAGCGCGTCAGCATTTAGTATTCAACCGACGGTAAGAGGCGAGCTGAATTGCAAGGAAAACAAGATTCGTGCGAGACACATTCGTGCATTCGCAGATTTCACGTGTAAATAGTGTGAAATGGAATCTTCATGTACCAGACCCGGAACATCACAGAAGGTCGAGAAGGATTCTGAGAAGAGCTATATATCATAGTTGATATGGTTCAGAGCTGGAAGGAGCTAACCGGCATGATAGATAAGGGATAATGGTGCCCATATATCGAATATGTCAACCAGTGCGACAAGGTGGCCAGAATGACCTGCGGCAGTTTGCTGGAGCAAGTATCATAAAAGGAGTGGAATACTTGATGTAGAAAATGGCCATTGAAAATGAGTCAAGGCCTTTCGTATTACCGCTTTGTCTGCAAGGACCTGGAGAAAGGGTAAGAAAAAGTTGGCAGAAACGGGGAGAGACACACCTGGGAGCTCGAATATATATTTGAGGATGGTAAGTTTATTGCAGGAATAGCAAAATTGGGACCACAGGCACAGCTATGGCGACTTCTGTCGTGCTTGTCGCAAGAAGTCAAAAATCGTGGTACAATTCCCCCCATGAAGCATTCTGGGCCCATTCCCCACCTGTGTGAGACGTATCTCAGCCAGAATTAGGCCTTACTCTGACTCGGCATGCGATCAGTGACGCTCCAGATGCGGTTGTCCTGAATTCTCACCAAAGGGCTTCCTACAGGCCGCATTTCGGTCCTATAGCTCTGAGGATTTTTGAGTTATGTCAGCGGGCATGTCTGCATCGCTGGTCGAGATATGACGATTTTTAGAGGAGAATCGAAAAAACAAATTCGAATATCCTGCGAGGTCACGTGCGGTTCAACATTTAGCGGGCGATCTCCTCGAGCTGAGCCAGCACGATATCGTCGAGATGAACATGTCAGGACGGCTGTTTCCGACGGATGCGATCCCAAGCAAGAAGATAGAATCCTGCTAGGAAGCTAGGGCGAGCTCCAGGACTGGGGCTGTGGATTGTGCGCATGGTGCAGTTTTCGAGAATATCCTTTTTGGTGGTCGAACAAGGCAGGGAGAAATATGGGAATAGGCTGAATATTGAAGGAGGTATGATTTAGAGCTGGTCTGAGCTATCCAGCACAGCTGATAGCGCATATTGGTGCCATGTCGAAGGGTACCGAAATCGCTTGCTTTCGTTTTCGACATCTGCGGCATTTGTCTCCAGGGCACATCTATATCGCTCCAGATGGCGGATTCATGCTAAGGATATTCGAACAGGATATCCGAAAGACTGTGACCACGGAAAAGCAGGATAAGGTCGACGCTCTGGTGAGCGTGAAACGTATGCAGACACTTAGCGCAATCTGTTAGGAATCATTAGAAAAGCATACAGAAGACTGTATTAGGATGGTCCGACCTTTAATGCAATGGTATATCGGGCTCTTCCGCTCCAGAGCCGGGCCAAGATCTAAAGATTGGCATGCCGCAGACAGCGCTTTTTTGAACTAGAATCGTCATTCGTTGCATTAGCTGTGGGATCAGCGATGGAGAAACGACAGGACTGACCAAATGAGCGTTGTGGCCACCGTATACTTCGTGAACGAGAAAACAACCATAGTATCAGCATGAGGGAAAAAGCAGCATCGCCGCATTTGGGTTGTGGATTCTGGAAAGCTAGACCAGAAGGGTGGAGTTGAGACTGCAGAGCAAATAAATATCGTCAAGGTTCGACTTGTGCGGTAGAATACGACCGAATAGCGGATTTGACAGGTTAGGTCTTTGGTAAACCTTAAGTGCTGTATCGGTGAAGGAATGTAGCGTGACGCACCATAAGCAAGATAAGGCCTGAGCATTTACCAATGCTTCACCATGAAGAACCAGGATAGAGGTCATGGTCAAGCCAGA